AACCTACTATGCAGCCTTAGTAATCAAAAGTGCTTGGTGTACTGGTAGAAGAAATATAGACCAATGGACTAGAACTGAGAACCCAGTAATAAATTCATTAAGTAGAGAAAAAGCCTTTTTAACAAATGGTGCTGGCAAAACTGGCTGTTTGCAGAAAATTGAAACAAGACCCCATACTTCATATATTTAAAAAACTAACTTGATAGATCAAAAGACCTATGTGTAAAACCTAAAATTATTAAGATCATCAAAGAAAAATTGGGACAAATTTAGAGACTCTAACCAATTGCATAAATAAACTTATCCAATATAACTGAAAGTGCACAACTAACAGAATAAGCTCGATGACTGGGATCTCCTAAAACTGAAATCCTTATATGCAACAGCTGCAAGAGAAAGATGGGCAATCTCCTCCCATGTGGCTTAAGTGCCTCTGAAAACCCACTGAAGGGTCAGCTATGAGTCGATTCCAACTACACAACAGCAGCAACAACAACATATGCATCAAAACAGTAAAAAGTGGTGCAAATCCACCAGATGCTCTGCTGGAGAAGGAGGGGCAATGTCTTACTGTACCAGTGAGATCCAATTTGACAGTACACACACACAATTACATTTTTTGGGGGGGAGGTTGGGCAGGGGGAAAATTGCAACAATGGATGAATGGAAATCCAAAGTCTCTGTAAACTTTCATTAAAATTAACTTTAAAAAAACACAGTTAAAAGAGAACCTATAGAGTAGAAAGAACTATTTGAAAATGGCACATCTAACATAGACTTATCTCTAAAATTTATAGAAAATTCCTTAATTACAAAATGGGCAAAGGACATGAAAATATACTTCACTGAGGAAAACATTCAGGTGGCCAATAAAACACATGAAGAAATGCTCAAGATAATTAGCTATTAGATGTAAATCGAACAATGATACCATCACACCTCTGTAAAAATAGCATTGTTCAGGTAGATAGCCAACAATAAATGCTTGTGGGGGTGGAGAGATAGGAACAGTCTTGCATTGTTGGTGGGATTGCAAAATAGTGCAACCACTATGGAAAGCAGTTTGGTACTTCCTTAAAAAAGCTGGAAATAAGGGAGCTCTGGTGGCCTAGTGGCAAGAAACTGCACTGCAGTCCCAGAGGTGCATGGTTCAAAACCACCAGATAGTCTGTTGGAGGAGGGGCGATCTCCTCCAGTACCAGTCAGATCCAATTTGATGGTACACACACAAAAATTGATAAAATTAAAAAAGAAAGCTGGAAATAGAAATGAACTTACCATTTGATCTATCAATTGCCTTTGAGTCGGAACCAACTCATAGCTGACCCGCCAGTGGGTTTTCAGAGGCTGTTTTCAGAGCAGAGTAGCTGTTGGATTGGAACTCTGTGCTTTTGGGATTGTAATGAATTTCTTACTATTAGGCCACTGCCATATCTCATATCTCAAAAGAAATAAGAGCTCGAACACAAATTGACAACACACATCCAAATTTATTGCAGCATTATTTACAAGAGCAAAGGGATGGAAACAATCCAAGTGCTCATCAACAGAGAAATGACTAAAGAAATTCTGGTACATTCACACAAGAATTAAGATTATCAGCCATTACTAAAAAATGATCAAGAATTTGTGAAACACTGCAAAACATGGATGAGCTTAGAACAAATTATGCTGTGTGACATAAATTAGTCACAAGAAGACAATTATGGTGTAAGACCACTATTATAAAAAGGAAAGGTTTGCACACCAACAGAATAATTTCCTGGTGTTTAACAGGGATGGGAAGGGAGAGAGAAGGGAGTAAAACTTAGTAAAGTTGGGTACAGAGAAAATTATTTACTATAAATTATACTTAACGTTAATTGTAATTAATGTGGTTAAAAATGCATATGAATGATTGAAAGGAAAACCAATATGATTTGTAAACTTCACTCAAATGAAAACTAAAAATTAAGGAAACCGACAAAAACACAAGAGCAGGGCAGCCTAGTCAAGCTCGGAAGTGCTACAAGCCTGCTAGCTTTGGACAGGCTAGAATGGATCAGGTTCTCCAGCCTGCTCCCTGCCCCTGGTTCAATATTAACTCTACCTTTTTCATGGCTGATCCCAACTCATGACCCCCTTCAGCCTTAAATGCTAGTTCTCAGCTCCCTTCTCTGTGAGGCACACCCAGAGAGGGAAAACTTAAAAGTCTGATCCCAAAGGCAGTCTTGCAACAGAATGGATTGGGTTGCTCCTGTCAGCTGTGAAGGTGGAGTAATAGAGTAGTCCCTATAGAGATGAGCTCACATGACTCAGGATGAAAGCTGCAAGCAGGTGCAAACCCTCCATAATTCAGACCAGCTCCTTTCTCATAAAGAAGCATAAACCCTCAGGGAGCCCAAGATGTACGCTGTGGAATTACAAAATCTTTTTATTCCTTTTATTTTATACTGGTTTACATACAAAGTTCATATACATTGTTCTTCACATGGATCTTTAAAACAAAATCTTTTTAAAAACCATAGAATCTTGAAGCTGGTTGGTTGATATGTGCCAAGCCCCCACAGAATCTTAATGCTAGTTGACTGATGTATGTCAAGCCTCATTCTGAATTACAGCAGTGACCACAGCCTTACCCTCTGGGAATTCACAGTGAGCCTAACTAATAAGTAAACTAACCAGTTAAAACACAGTGAGGAGTGAGGACCTGCCTACAGTTGCCAGAGCTGCTTCCTTGGAATCCCCACTGAGACATGGATGAGGAGCTGCCAGCTCTGTGCACTGGGAGGAGACCTTTCTGGAACCTGCAGTTGAAGGATGTCAGAGATGATCTAGCTCAACCTCCCCCTGTACTTCGAGGAAAAAGCCTTTAAAGAGATGGGATGGAGTGGGTCTCACATGTATGAAGTCCAGTATGTCTGGGCACTGTGACACCCTGGCAGAAGGTAGCTAGAAGTACTACTGGCCTCAGCTCTACAGCAAAGAGGGGATATGGGAAGGGTCAGAGGGAAGTATGGCTTTTCTCTGCCAGGTGAAAGTAGGGGGCTGCTCTGTCAATTGCTATCTTCCTATGTCCCTGATTACTCCAATTATCCCCTGCTTTCACCCAGGGAACTCTGGTGGCTTGTTGTTGTTAGGTGCCATCAAGTTGACTCAGAGTGACTCTATGAACAACAGATCCGAACGAACCCTATTCCATCCTCTTCATTTCTAATACACTTGGGCCCATTGCTGTAGTTACTGTGTCAATCCATTTCATCTTTCTCTCTCTCATTAACCCTCCACCTTTCCAAGCATGACTGAATATTTCCAAGGAATAGCCTTTTCTAGTAACATGCGCAAAGTGTGCGAACCACAGCTATGACATCTTTTCTTCCAAGGAGCTACACCTTCTCCAAGACTTATCTATTGGTTCTTTTGGCAGTTCTTGGAATCTTCAATATTCTTTTCCAACACCACAGCTCAAAGGCATGAGGTCTGTCATCTTTTTTGTTGATGTTGTTGTATGACTTTATTTACTTTTTATTTTTTTAATTGAGGTTTTAATGCAAGTTTATAGAGAACATAGATTTCCATTCATTCATTGTTGCACATTTTCCTCCCTGCCTACCCCTCCCCCAGGTTTGCTTTTCTCTTTTTAAAAAAAAAATTCATTATTATACAATTCCCCCCGCCTCCCGGTCACTTTACTATGCAGCTATTATTCTGGACTGTTGTCATGCATGTAATACCTAATCATATATTCCTTTTAAGTAGTTCTCTCCCTCATCTGTTTCAATGTAGTGTACGTTATTTATCCCCTCTTTTCTTAGCTTCCCCCCAATCCTGATGTCAGTCCTGTGGGGTGTGTGTGTGTGTGTGTGTGTGTGTGTGTTCAAATTGGATCTGACTGGTACAAGAGGAGATTACCCCTCCTTCTCCATCAGAGCATCTGGTGGATTTGAACCATGTACTTCTGGGATTGCAGTGCAGCTTCTTGCCACTAGGCCACCAGAGATCCCTAGTGTTTGTCCTTTTATGACTGAGATATTTCACTCAGCATGATGTCCTCCAGGGTCACCCATTTTGTATAATATTTCACCAGTTTCTTCTTTTTCAGTGCTGCATAGTATTCCATTGTGTGACTATACCACAGCTTCTCTATCCATTTGTTTGTTGATGGGCACTTGGGTTGTTTCCATCTCTTTGCTATTGTGAACAACACAGCAATAAATATGAGTGTGCATTCTTCTGTCATCTTTAGTCATTGTCCTTATTCATAGTGGCTTAGTGGTTAGGAATTGGTCTGCCAACACAAAGGTATGAGGGAGAAAGATGGGCGATCTCCCATGCGAATTACTACCTCTGAAAACCCACTGGAAACTCAACTATGGGTCAATTCTGATTCGATGGTACACAATAACAAGAACTCGCTATGGTAGACAACAATAAGTCTCCGCAGAAGGGAGCTCTGATGGCTAAAATATTAAGTGTCGAGCTGCCAACTCAAAGGTATGAGGTTCAAATCCACTAGCTACTCCAGAAGAAGGTGAGCCATCTGCTGAGAGGCTGAGATTGTACCCGTTGAGTGGGGGATTCCCGATGACGGGAAGTTTCTGCTCCAGCAGTGGAAAGGTATTAAATTCTATTATCTCTGAAAACAAGCTGGAGTGTCTGCTGTGACTCGGTTTGGACTCTGTGGTACCTAGCAATTGACCCTAGACCTCACTGTGACAGATTGAGAAGTGACCTTGGATTTTGGTTTCCGTTTCAAATAAATTTCAGATTATGATCTCAAACAGGTCTCTGTCCCTCTGTGAGCCTCGTTTTTGTCATCTGAGAAATGAGACTTCCAAACTCTACCTCGTCCCGCTGCAGGTTAGGGACTATGAAATATTTAGGAATAAGCTAAGTTTCTGGGGCATGTGCGATAATATTGAGGCCCGATAGTTAAGGTCCCCCAAACTCTGTCCTATTCCCTAGCTGCTTCTGAGAAACAGCTGTTCTCACAATGCCCTTGAGAAACTTCATTTCCCGACATGCAATGGCCAGACGGTGCTGGGTCACGTGGCCCCAGGTCAGCGCGGGGACTACGACTCCCGGCGTGCCCCGCGGGCGGCAGCGAGAAATACGTGGCGCCGGAGCCGGAAGTGGCTGCTACTGCGAAGTCGCGGGACTGCCGGGCAATGGTGAGTTGGTGGCCGAGTGGCCAGTGTTAGGGACTTTTAAAAGGAGCAGTGGCTGGGCTCGGGTCGGGACTTGGGTCTTCGGCACTCAGAACCAAGGTCGCCTTCCCTCAGGCTCATTGTTTCTATGGAAAGTCCGAGGCTCGGTGCACCTTGGCCAGAGTGGAAACGACTCCCTAGTCATACTTTACTATGTCTTGAATGAATGGAAGGTTAAGAGCACAGTCAGGCCCCGACCCTCCCCGGGCCCACTCCCGCCAACCTGCACTTCTAAATGGAAAGCCCTCCACTTCCCTCCAGGCCACGGGAACAGACCAGGTGGTCGGACTCGGCCTCGTCGCGATTAGCCTGATTATCTTCACCTACTACACCGTCTGGGTGATCTTTTTGGTACGTCTCTACCGCCCTCTGTTCACCTTTCCCCATCCCTGACACCGATCCTAGCAACTACCCTGCCAAGCATTTCACCTGTCTTACGCCGCTTAACCTCCATAGCAGTGCTGTGAGGAAGATCATAGTGGGGTCTCCATTTCATATATGAGGAAACTGAGGCTCACGGGGAAGGGCTTGGCCGGTGGGCTTATGCCTGACCACTGCACTTTAAGGCCTGATTTTGCCCTGATGGAAATTCAAGTCGTTCTGTTTATCCTGCTAGCTCTTGGGCATGGCTAACTCATTGCCATCGAGTAGGAACCAACTCATAGCTGATCCCCCAGCCAGCTTCAGAGGCTTTAAATTGCACGAGGCTGTACGTTGTCCAACATCTTTCTGCGAAAGCCGCTGGTGGATTCAAAACTGCCCAGAGAGGTGTTGCCTTTGGATTAGCAGCGTCACTCCTTTGGGTCTGCATCACCAGAGCCCCCTGAGCATGGCTAGTGCTAATGAATTTGTCAGGGCTTTGGGGATTTTGTTTTATTTTATTTTTTAAGTAGGAGTGGCCTCCACTTCCTAAACAACATGCCTTTGGAAACTATGAACTTTGATAAATGTCGATAGTTGTAGAAGGGCTTTAGGCCTTTTGTTCATAGGGTCGCTATGAGTCATACTCGACTCAAGGCAGTCAGCAACTATATATATATATATATAATTTTAGTGCTGGAAAATTTGTTATTATATAGGAAATATAATGTGCTTGGAAGGCAAAATTCCTGCATAACTCAATATACTTCAGAGAAAAAAAAAAATGGTAGTAAAGAAGACCTTGGAGCTTAGGTTTGGACTCGAGAAGATTGTTCATGTATTTCTTAGCCATGTTGGCTCTTAATGATCCAAGGCAGGACTCCTGTCTTCTGTTCACAGCCCAGGGTGGAAATTTTGGGTGGGCATTAGCCCACCAGACAAGTGCCAATAAACAGCCATTAAATACGTGAATGAAGGAAAGAAATCCAAATACCATCATCTTTTTAAAAAGCGATGTCCCTTCCCAGAGGTGCACGGTTCGAATCCACCAGTTGCTCTGCCAGGGAAGGAGGGGCAATCTCCTCCTGTACCAGTCAGATCTGATTTGACGGTACACACACACAAAAATAACAAAATAATTAAAAAAAAGCGATGTCCCAATACCTTGAGTAAAATCAGCCCCTTGGACAGAAAAGGTGGGATATTTGAACTTGGGAGCTGAGGGAACTTGGGAAGGCAAACGGTGCTCACCAGAGCTCTGCCCTTGGTACCAGCCATTCATCGACAGCCAGCATGTCATCCACAAGTATTTCCTGCCCCGAGCCTATGCTGTCGCCATCCCGTTGGCCGCAGGCCTTCTGCTGCTCCTGTTCATAGGTAAGTCATCACCCACCTCCCTCAACCCTAGGCAGGGCCACCACATCATCTCCCATCCTGGAAAATGCCACACTTTGGCACTTACTGTGTGTCTATGTGAAGTTCATTGGCTCCAGGTCTTCCCTTTGGTTTTTCTTGTTTCCTTTTTCAAAGATGGAAATCAGTGATTATCCCTCAGGCCCACCCAGTACCCTGAGTTCATAAGACCCCAATGAGATGCCTATGTTTTTCCTGCCATCACTCTGACATACCTCGATCATTTCCCACCGTCTTGTCAGCCTAATTTCTAATTCCTGCACTGGTCCGTCTCCCATAGTTCAGTGTTGCAGACTGTGTGGGAGCTATGACTGTCTTTTTCTTTTTTCTCTCCTTGTTGTGTACTGTCGAATCGGATCTGACTGGTACAGGAGGAGATTACCCCTCCTTCAGTGGAGCATCTGGTGGATTCGAACGATGCGCCTTTGGGATTGCAACACAGCTTCTTGGCCACCAGAGCTCCCTTAAGACTGAGTCTTAGTTATTGCTTTGTCCACGGTACCTGATAACAGGGTTTGGCGTTGAGTTGTGGCTCAGGAAAGTGGTTTGGGTGAATTAATAGTTAAATAACTGGATGATAGATATCAGGCAGATGAGTGAGTGGATAGGTAGGTAGACAGGGAGTTGACTGAATAAATGGGTAGATGGGTGGGTCTTGTTGCCACTGGAATTTCACACATGAAATGCAATGTCTAGCATGTGGGAGTGGATTTGTGGCTTGATAAATGACTAGAAAGATGACTACCTGGTTTGGAGGGTGGTAGGGCAGGCCCATGATCCTGCATGTGACCACTCCACCATGCCCTGCCCTGCCTTGTAGCTTTCCTAAGCCTAGATCTTATCTAATTTGTGTGGTCTGTATGTTCCAGGAGTATTCATCACCTATGTGATGCTGAAGAACCAGAAGGTGACCAAGAAGGTTCAGTGAAGGCCCAGTAAGGGATGAGGCTCAGTCCCTTCTCTGCTTCCCTCTGAGCAGGGATTGAGGGTGGGAGTCAGCACTGCCAGTCCAGGTACTGAGACAGCTCCAGCCTGGCAACCCTACAGTGACACCCATGGGATGGCAATATTCAGGACTCACCCCTCCCCTGACCAGCCAGAGTCTCTGCTCCTTACCTGCTCACCCTTCCAGAAACCAGCATGGAGGGAAAACCTGGACCTCTTGTTGTGACCCAGGATCTAAAAGAAGCTGGTCCTCTCCACCTCACATTCAGACTCCCTGTCACCTTTGCTTCTGGGTTCTTCCCTCTTGCTGCCATTTTCCTCCTGACATGGGCTGACATCGGACTTAGCGGGCTCAGAGAGAGTGTGCAATCTCTTGCCTGTGTCCACTCTCCTACAAGGGCAGCTTTTTCAAGTCTGACACAGCCCTCGACCCGACTAGGACTTCTGAACTTGGACAATCAGGAGAAAGGCTGATGGACCCTGGGATCATCACCAAGCATCAAAGCACCTGAGAGTGGCCACACTGGGCCCTCAGACTGTGTACTCTTCTTAGAGGCCAGCCCTCTCCAGCCCCATGATAGACTGTTTGGGAAAGTTTAATAATAAATGTTAATCATGTGTTTATCTCTTCGCCAGTCTTGATCAGGCAACCTGGGCTGCTATGGGATAGGGACTGGAGAGGAACTTGGATCTGACCCCTGCGTTGTCCTCAGATCAGAAAACCCTGGTTTATGCAGTGAAGATGCCTCAGGGTCCTCCTCCAGACAAGCTCTGTACTCCAAATAGGAAAGAGCAGAGGCTGGGAAGACATGGTTCTGGCCTGGTGGAGCTCACGGCTGAGGAGGTGAAGTTGGCAGCTGATGTAAGTGCTTAGAGCCAGGTAGGGGCCCTGGCATAGCAGTCTGTTCAAGATCGTATCAGTCTCGACATACCTCCCTCCCCTTGACCTTTTAGCTACATGGACTAGCATTTCAGAAAGCTTCCAGCCAGTCCTCTTAAAACCCGGGCCCATCTATTGCTTACACCCAGCATGGCCATGACCAGCTCAGTGAGAATAGAGCTGGCCCCTTTATGTTGGCTTGTCAGATTTGAGATTTGGCACCGTCCTGCAATCTCACCAGACCCTTCTGGATAGCTGGTGTTCCCATCCAGAGTGCCTGCGGCAAACTATCCTGTCAAATCTAGAGTATTCACTCTTCCTCTTGTTAGTGGAGAACCTGGTCTCCCACTTCTCCAAGAAAAGAGAAGCCATTTGCAGACATTTGTCTTCAGACAGGTAGCTCCATCCTCTGGTCCCTGCCTGGTCCTTGGGACTCATACCTTTCCACTGCTGGAGCAGAAACTTCCTGTCATCAGGAATCCCCCACTCAATGGGTACAATCTCTGCCTCTCAGCAGGATCTTCCAATTGTTTTATCCATGTATCCATTTAAGAGGCACTCCTTCAACCCAGTAAGTTAGCCCAAGGAATTCCTTCTCCCCCTTACCAATTTCTCCAAAAGGGTGTCAACAACAGCTATCAGCATTTCCTCCTTCTCACTGCCCTCCACTCCATCCCCATCACCTAGGAAGGCTGCACCCACCAAAGCCAATGTCCTTAAATCCAAAAGACCTTGCCTTGACCCTTTCCCACATTTGTGACATCTGGATGACATCCTTCCATTCACCTTCAGTCCCTTAGAGTCTGTGATGCCCTCTATCCTACTTTATATGTCTCTTGTGTTTATACCCAGCCGCTCTGCTATGAGATTGTGGGATCCTCAGGGCCCACTCAACTCTCACTCCCCATGTGACATTATTCACACAGCCTGCTTTGCACATGTGCCCAGATTGTACAACTGACAACCCCACTGAAATCTTCTCTCAGAAGTACCTCTCAAATTCACTTGTCCCCCAAGTCCATTTCTCTTCTCATGCCCTACCCCATCTTAAAATTGGCAGCATATGTGCAGGACCCTGGTGGTTAACTTGACCTTGGTTTCTAACATCCAGATTATCCAAAATCCTGTCAATTTTTCCTTCCTTTTTCTCTGACCGCCATCCTACCCCTGTCTCAAGCAGTCTTCCTAGTGCAAAGCCACCACCCATCCCTACCCTAAGTGATTGATAGCTTCCTCACTCCTCTCCCCTGCTGCTCTGGTCCTCTCCAGCCTGACCACATAGCAGCCAGTGTGGCCTTTTAAAAACACACCTAAGCTTCTCACACATCTTTAACACGCCATGGATAGAATTATGTATCCCAAAAACATGTAAATTCTAACCTTTGTTCCTATGGTTAGGGAACTCTAGTGGTCTAGGGGATAAGGAATTGGCATTGCCAACCCAAAGGCCGGCAGTTCAAATCCACTAGCTGTTCTATGAGAAAGATGTATGTATAGCAATGAGAGATGCTTGTGTTTAGAATCCTACATTGTTATGTTAATAGCAAGGCAGGATTAAAGTCAGTCTCTTTTGATAGTAAAAGAAAAATGAAAGCTGGTATGAAAAACTATATACAAACTTCATAACTAAACCAGTATAAAATAAAAATATTATTTAAAAAAAAAAGTGAAAACTAGCCAGCAGAGATGAGGAAAGAGAGATTCAAAGCCACATGAAGATTGCACAGGAGCAGAAGCTCAGAAGAAACAAGGACCTTCCTCCAGGGCCGACAGATGCTGGAGAAACAAGCTCAGGAGCAAGAGAGACTGTCCTGGAGCTGACACCCCCACGAGTCAGACTTCTAGCTCCTAAACTGAGAAAATAAATTTCTCTTTGTTAAAACATCCACCCATTTATAGTATTTCTATCACAGTAACAATACATAACTAAGATATAGTATGTCTCTAGGTTCTCATCACTCCTCGTGTAACCTACATAACTACATGCCCACTTCCTTCACTCCAGCCACACATGACTCCCATTTCCCAGAACTCTGTCACTTTCTATATCCTATTCCCTCATGTTGCAAGGAGGGAGCAGTCTTTGGGGAGAGACATCATGCTTGGAAGGGTGGAGGGATGGAGAATGAGGGAGACCTTAGGTGAGATGGATTGATGCAGTGACTTGAGTAATGGGGATAGGTGTATCAGTAAATTTGGTGCAGGATAGAGCAGGTTTTAGGGATGTGCATAGGGTTGCTATGAGTCTCAAGCTACTGGATGGCACATAACAACAATGTATGCTTGGGCACAATCAATAAGAGTGCATCTAAATTCCAAAATCAATCTCCATAATAGTCTATGTGTTTCCTATTGCCAAAGGGGCCCTTTAGAGTAGTGAGAGAAGATCTTCACCCTGAAACCCACAGCGTCCCTTTTTAGCAGGAAGTAGCTAAGAGAATACGCCATCCCCTCTTCCTTATGAATCAGGGTGAAGTCTCTCTCAGGAGTGATAGGGAATGGCAAAGGACACACCGACAAAGGAGATTAATCAGAACTGACTTTGACAAGCACTGTGGCAATTGGACAATTAAAACAGACATTCGGATGGCGGGGAAGAAGAACAAACTGGGGAGGAGGGTGGAGAGAATGGTGCGGCAATGAAGGAGTGAAAGCCCAGAATCCCTGTGAATGTTCATTGAAACTAATAAAATTTAATAATAATAAAAAAAAACAATGTATGCTTGGGATCTCTGATAGCCTAGTGGGTAAGGAGTTGTAGCACCGCCAACCCGAAGTACTCAGTTCAAATCCACCAGCTGCTCTGCAGGAGAAAGATGGGCAATCTCTTCCCATGTGATTTACTCCCTCTGAAAACCCATTGGAGAGTTTGAGTCAGCTCTGACTCAGCATACGGAATAACAATGTGTACTTACTTAGCACCAGTTTTGGGCTAAGCCCTGAAATGGCAAACAAGATGATGCGGTTCCTGCCCTTGTGGCCCTCACATTCTGGGGGAGAGATATAATAAGCCAATAGCAATGCTGGCATTGTTAATAGTGATAAACATCGGGTGAATGTGATCAAGAGTAAGAGTTGGCCTCATTCATTGATGATGATTTAACAGCAGGAAAACTTCCACAGAAAGTTAATCATAAGTATATGACCCAGCAATCCCTAAGTATATACCCAAAAGAAATGAAAGCAGAAACTTAGACATACCAGTGTTCATTCCAAAATTACTCAGTAGTTGTAGTTATGTGCTGTTGAGTCACCTGCGACTCCTAGCGACTAAACCCTGCTCTATCCTGTGCCAATCTATCTCTGATACACCTACCCCCATTACCCCAATCACTGAATCAATAGTTAAATGATGGAATTAACCTGTGTGCCCATCAACAAATGAATGGATACAATGTCGTATATGCAGGCAGTGGAATATTAGTCATAAAAGGCATGTTCTAATATAAGCTATAATGTGAGTACACCTTGTAAACATTGTGCTGAGCAAAATAAGTCAAACACAAAACACAGTATGACTCCACTTAGGAAACACAAATATATAGAGACAAAAGCCTGTTAGTGATGAGCAAGGATGATGGGTGGGGAGAATGGAGTTATTAAGGGGCACAAATCTGTTTATCAGCAGGGAACTGCCAGATGTGGAGGCTGGTTTTAGAAGAGGTCATGGTACAAGGGATATTATAGCTAATGTTAGATGGACCTTGGCAGAACACAGAGAATACCAGGAGAGTGTCTATCTGTGCCTCATTGACTATGCAAAGGCTTTTTGACTGTGTGGATCACAACAAGCTATGGCTGACTCTTGAGAAGAATGGGAATCCCAGAACACTTGATTGTGCTAATGCGAAACCTATACTTGGACCAAGAGGCAGTCATCAGAACAGAACAGGGAGACACTACATGGTTCAAAATCAAGAAAGGGGTCCATTAGGGATGTATTTTGTCTCCATTATCTTTTCAATCTGTATGCAGAACAGATCATCCGAGATGCTGGGCTGTATGAGGAGGAATGTGGCATCAGGATTGGTGGAAGAATCATCAACAACCTGCATTATGCAAATGACTGTGTCATTTGCATAATGCTTGCTGAAACCGAAGAGGTTCCTGGAAAGGACTGCAGTCTTCAATATGGATCGAAGCTCAACATCAAGAAAACAAAGGTTCTCACCACTGGCCCACCTGGCAGCATCAGTATGGATGGTGAAGAAATTGAAATAGTTAACAGTTTTAGTTTACTTGGCTCCACAGTCAACACTCTTGGTAACAGCAGCTAGGAAATCAGGAGACGGATTGCATTGGGAAAGTCAGCTGTGAGGACCTCTCAAGAGTACTGAAGAGCAATGACGTCAGGCTGGAGACTAAGGTGCACCTGACCTGGGCTATAGTCTTCTCAATTACGTGCTATGCATCAGAGAGTTGGACAATGAATAGGGATGATAGAGAATTGATGCATTTGAGCTGTGATGCTGAAGAGTGTTGAATATACTATGGACTGCTAGGAGAACAAACAGGTTTGTCCTGGAGAGGGTGAAGCCAGAGTGCTCCTTGGAGGCAAGGATTCTGAAGCTTCATCTGACATACTCTGAGCCTGTTTGCAAGGAGGGACTGGTCCTTGGAGAGGGACATCATGTTTGGGAGAGTGGAGGGATGGCGCAGGAGAGGAAGCCCCTTGATGAGATGGGTCGATTCTGTGAGTGGAGTGGTGGGAATGAGTGTGTTTGAGATGGCGAGGTTGGCACAGGATAGAGCAGCTTTTAGGGCTCCTCTATATAGGGTTGCTATGAGTCGCAAGCCACTCGATGGCACATAACAACAATAATCTGTAGGAAGTTGCATAGCTCATTCAAAGGTGTTGCCTGTTGTTCAAATCCATCAGCAGATCCTTGGAAGAAAGTTGGGCACTCTCATCCTGTATGGTTTACAGCCTTTGAAAACCTGCTGGAGCATCAGATGAGTTGACTCCAACTTGATGGCAATAAGTGAGTGTGATTTGAAGTTTCTGTGTAAATGCCCCTGTGGAGTAGGGGTTAAAGCACTTGGCAGCTAAGCATAAGGATAAGAGGATTGGAACCCACCAGCCAATCTGTGGGAGAAAGACAGAGGAACCTCTGTCTTAAAGAGCTATATGCCTGATTCCGACCATGGTCTTTTCAGTCACTTGTTATGCATCTGAGAGGTGGACAATGGCTAAGGATGACAGAATTGATGCCACTGAGGGTGTTGGAGAAGAATGCTGAAGATCTCATGGACTCCCAAAAGGATAATCAGATATGTCTTGGAGAGAGTGCAGCCAGAGTGTTCCTTGGAGGCAAAGATGATGAAGCATACATCATGCTTAGGAACGTGAAGTGGTGGTGAAAGTGAGGAAGACCCTTGACCAGTTAGATGGGTTGACACAATGACTGCAGGATGTGTCAGAAATTGTGAGCATGGCAAGGGATAGGACAGTGTTCAGTTTTTCATCGGGTCCCTATGAGTCACAATTGATGGCACCTAACAACAACAACAAAGAGCTACTATGAGTTGGAATCAACTCAGCAGTGGGTTTGGGTTTGGTTTAAAGCTTCTGACTAGGGGGATGAACAGTATTTGAAAATGGATTGTGATGGTGGTACAGCATGATGGATGTAATCTGTTAGTGTTAGCCACCCCAGCGCCAGCCCCCTATTCATGGTGACCTCTTCAGAACAGTGATCTCTGGAGGCAGTTTATCAGACCTTTTGTCTGTGGATCCCCTAGCTGTGTTTGAACGGCTAACTGTAGGTTCACTATCCAGGGCCCTTAAATTTCCATCACCAAATTGTACACATAAACATTGCTGAAATGGCAAATGTTTTGTGATACATATTTTACCATAATTTAGAAAAAGAACAAGGCCCAGAGCTTTTCCTGAGGTGACGAGGAGGAACAAACTCTCCAGGGAAGGAATTTCAAACGGAGGAATCAGCAAATGCAAAGCAAGTGTATGAAGGTTAAGGAACTTAGAGCTGGGTGAGGTGGGGCTGCAGGTTGGGCAGGGCCCTGTCATGGAGGACCTAGGACCACGACAAGGTTTTAGATTCTGTTCCAAAGCAATAGACAGCCATTAGAGCCTGTAAGCAGGAGAGTGACATCATTGATTTATGCTTTTGAAAGATCACTCTGGCAGCTATGTCTTTCCCTCTCTCTCACCACTGAATACCAAAGGCCTAGCATTGTCCCCAGCTTACAGAGTTCAGAAATTACATGTTGCAGGGTGCATGACTCTAACTTCCTGTGTAAACTGGATCACTTCTCTTTCTGGATCTCAGTTTAGTTACCCCCAAAGAGAAGACGTGGAGATTTCACCCCATTGTCGACTCCAGGGACTAGATTGAGGCTACTCTGACTTCCTTTGTGAACCCAGAGCCCGAGACCTCCACCCAGAGGAGTGAATGGGGGTCCTACCTTGATAGGACCCTGGCCAATACGGGTGGCTCCGCCCACCCTGGAGGTCCCAAGGATGCTGCAACCCTGGGGGCGGGACCCGCAGGCAATCCCGCGAACGCCTCTTGCGGATTGGCTGCAGCAGTACACAGCACCCTACAATTGGCTGACCCAGCAATGGGCGGAGTCTGGCTCCCGCTGCCAGGCAGCGCCAAAGGCTGGTGAGCTGCAGCATTGGCGATGGCTGCGCCGAGCCCGGGACCCCACGAGGTAAGTGCAGACCTGAAAGAGGGGGAAGAGGGAAAGGTCGAGGGTGGGAGCAGGGGCTATCTCTGTCTCAGGGACGCAGACACGCCCCCCATCTGAACCAGGGAGGGGCCCTGCACTGGGGTACTAGGACACGCCCCAATGAGGGTGAAGATGTGAAGGGGACATCTGACAGGTATTCCACACAACTTCCTCAATTTCCTCCTTGGGAAAAAGGAGGTGGTAACAAAAGCCCCTCCCTCATTGGGCTGTTAGGAGGAGGAGCTCGCAAGCAGTGCTGGGCTGGTATGAACTCAGCCTTGAACGGACCCTCTACTGTGGTCCTGACACTCACAAGGAACTCAGCATAAATGAATGGGATAGAAATATTCAGTGACTCACCTACAGTCACATAATTGGTGAGAAGCTGGCCTGTCCTGACTACAGAGTACATGCTGTAATAATGATACTGGTGATAGTAACCCTTACTCTGTGTTTTGGACTTCATATCAGACATTGAGCAGCCCCTCACAAAACCCTACCAAGCCAGTATCAGCAATATTATTTCACATCTGAGGAAACTCAGGCAGAGAGAGGTGAGAGGAAGACACATGAGTAACAAAGCTGGGATTTTCGAACCTGGGCTGTCCCAACCCTGGGCCTTGCTCATGTACCTCCTCCTACCAGGTCCTCACCTGTTCCCCAGAGACTGGATGCAAAGCAGTTGTCTCCAGCCGCCGAGGTCTCCTCTGGCGCTTGAGAGACAAGCAGTCACGCCTGGGCCTGTTCGAGATTGGCCCAGGACACGAGCTCCATGGATTGATGTGTATGATGCAAACAGGGCTGTGGGCTGCCACCCAGGTTGCTGTGGACCACCCGCCCGTGGTGAGTGGACAGTCTGTCTCATGCAACCCACAGCATTGCTGAAGACCTGGCTGATGCTCTTGTCTCCTGAGCTAGGGGGTCAGAGAAAGTTACGGAGAGGATGGGACAGAGATTCATTCAGAGTGGGGCATTTGGGGCTGGAACTGAGGCCAGGAAACCAGGGAGCCTGGAGTTTGTACTTGTGAAGACACTCAGCTGATTGCCATGTGACTCTAAATGGGCCTCTGCATCTCTCTGCCCCTTTGTATAATGGAGGCCTGGAGTCTGTGAGGCCTCCTAACCCCACCAGTTTTTGGTTGAGAAGGGGCCAATCCCCACCCTGCTGACTTTACCCCTCCTCCCTGGAGCTCAGGCCGGGGTCAGGCTGGCTCAGCAGAAAGGGTCATGCAGATGCAAGCTCAGCAGCTGAATGGCTGGGGTGAGTGTGTGTTGTCTATGTGTGTTGCACAGTTGCTGGAGATTTAGGGAAACTATGGGGGCTGGAAGGGACCCTATAAACCTCATCACCTGCTGAAAGCTTCCATGGTTTTCTCCTACCCTTGGGGGAAATCTTGGCTTAGCATAATCTCAAAGTCCTGCTAGCTCAGGCCCAAAGGTCATGTGCAGCCTCACTCATACTCCCAGCCTCTCTTACTGTCTTCAGCCTTTAAGACCCTTCTTGCCTTCCTCGTGACTACCATCCCGGTTCCTCCCACCATGAGCACCCTATCCCTGTCTCCATCACCCTTCTGATTTCAGCTGAGGAGTCAGCATTTCCAGGAAGCCTTCTCTAGTCCTACCTCTCCCAGGCTTGGTTTCAGGGTCACCTCCTCACACACAAGATGACATCTGGTTTCTCTTGGCCGACATATGCATCTGGCTGTGTGCCTGCTGAGAGACACCGAGGCTCTCGGAGGGGTGGCAGGCTGTCTGCCCAGCTCAGGCACCCCCAGAACAGGCCCACGGCTCTTGTTTGCTGAAGGAATTCAACAGGGACTGGGGAGAAGGGAGCAAGGCCAGATGCAGGCTCAGCTCCTTCCCAACTGGCCAGAAACCTGGAGATTCTGGGGTGTCAGTGAGAGACTGAGACTGGCCCCTTCACTCCTCCCTGCAGGGGCCACTCAGTGAGGAGGATTTTTCTGAAGTCCTGATCCAAGTTCATGAGGTAGGAAGCCCTAGATTCTGGTGTTGGAAGGTAATGTGTACCTACCTGCCTTTCTCCTCAAATTCTGGTCAGTTTCCCAGTCTGAGTGTGGTCACCCTGACTCTTCACATTGGGCTTATCTCTCCTACAGGGCTTCGAGCTGGGCACCCTGGCAGGCCCGGCCTTCGCCAAGCTGCGCCGCTCCCTTGGCTTGGCTGAGGAGGACTACCAGGCTGCCCTGGGCCCAGATGGCCCCTATCTACAGTTCCTCAGCACTTCCAAGAGCAAAGCCAGCTTTTTCCTGTCGTGAGCAGGCAGCAAGGGTGGAGGGCGGGTGGCAGCTTCCTGAGGGGCTGGGGGAGATTCCTTGGGCCGAAAAACAGCACCCAGGGTCAGAAAAGGTCAGGGTTACAGAAGGTCAAATGCCATTAGGATGTTGACGGTGGGAAGATGGACAGGCAGGTGCGGGGAGCAAGTGCTCAGTGGGGGCCGCTCCATCTCGGCCTGGTGGGTGTCCTCTTCCCTCCTACCCCTCAGCCATGACCAGCGCTTTTTCCTGAAGACCCAGCAGCGCAGGGAGGTGCGGACTCTGCTGGCCCACCTGCCGCGCTACGTGCTGCACCTACAGAGGCACCCGCACTCGCTGCTCGCACGGTTGCTAGGTATGCGGCCGGGGGTCTGGGAACCCCAGGCAAGGGTCAGGGCGTGGGGGAGTCCCAGGCTCGGGAGCTGCGGGACTAAAGTAAAAACGCAGTTTACGCAGGGCCACAGGGGAGGGGGCGGGTCCCAGAGCGCAGATGCCCGAGTGGGCGTGGTCTGTGTGGGCCGGGGGCGGGGCCAGGCCCCTGGTGGTGGTGGGTTTCTAGGAGGCCCGGCCTAAAGCCGCAGGCCTGGGTTGGTTAGGGTGGCGGTCCCTGCAGGAGAGGCGTATTTGGGGAGAAGTCTTCATTCCGCTCCACCTGGGCTGGATTTAAAAGTCAGAGACTGAGTCTGGAAGGGCAGGCTTGGGTTAGCGCAGTTCAAAGAGTTATGACTGAGCTGTTACTGGGGAAGAAAGGACCAGGTGGTGTGGGGTTTGAGACCCTTCACCTGGCTCGCTTTCCTCTTCCAGGAATGCACAGCCTTCGAGTAGCCCAGGGGAAGAAGGTGGGTGAGGCCAAGGCGAGGGCCAGGGCTGGGAGGGGGCGGCCGGAGGGGAGACCCTGCCTCCCTCACTCTTCCCAACGCTGCCCCCAGAAATACTTCATCATCATGCAGAGCGTCTTCTACCCTGCTGGTCGCATCTCTGAGAGGTGAGTGTCAAGAGAGTGAATCAAGAGATTCCCCGAGGCCCAGACAGGGCACCACTCTATAGGAATGTGCCCCTTGAAGCAACCCCACCCCCAGTACTGACTATACTGAGGCTCATTGGAGGGAAAGGGACGTCTCCACATCTCCCGGTGGGCCAGAGAAGTGTGCGCACTACAAGTATCTCGTAAGTGCTCCCTAAGCTGGGCACCCTCTTTAGCCATTTACGTTCATCACTTCCTTTAGTCCCAGCACCCTGAAAAGATGGTGTTACTGTGATGGTGTGCAGACTGGTCAGTGCCGACCCCTAGACACCCTGCAGGATAGAGTGAGTGAATCATCATGGAAGTGTTCTGTCACGATTTTATCTTCTAAACCCTCAATTCTCAGTGAGCAGAAGGGCACTTGAGCTCTGCACCACCAGATTCCTGTGCTGTTGTTATGCACTCAAGTCAGAATCCTATTGCTGACCATCCAGCAGATTTTCACAGCAGGAATTAACTGGTGTTAATTGCCTATCTTTCTCCCACAGAGCAGCTAGTGGATTTGAACTGCATGCTTTTGGGTTGGCAGCACAGCTCCTTGCCACTAAGCCACTAGAGCACCCAAGTATATATTAAATGAATAAGTAGGATATATTAATTGACACATGTGGTTACTATCCCTATTTTATAGATTGAGAAGCTGAGGAAGAGAAGGGTCACATAGCCAACATGTCATGGAGCAGGGATTAGGACCTTTGATGTTTTTCCCAATCCTGGCTCTTCTCAATCATTCACTTTCATTGTCATCTAGTCAGAACCAACTCAGAACTGACCTTCAGTGGGTTTTCATATACTATAGATCCTCTGGGAGGAGATTGCTCATCTTTCTCCTGCAGAGTGACTGGTGGATTCGAACCACCTGCATTTGGGTTGGCAATGTAACTCCTTATCCATTAGGACACTAGAGTTCCCTGGCTCTTCTCACAGCCCTGCCATTAGGAACCTCTACCACCCCACTGGCTTCCCTCCTGTCCTCCTTATGATGCAGTTTAAGGTGGGATCCGTTGTGTCTGAGATACCCCTAAAGATGACAGGCAAAGCTAAAGCCTGGGCTGGGCTTTCAAAGACCTGGGTTTGAATCTCTACTCTACCCAAAGCTTTCTGTCTTGGGCAAGTCAGAGAAACTCCTTAAACCTTAGCGCTTCATGTCTAATTGGAGAACAGTAATGGAATGAGCTTGTGCTGAAAATTAGACTGTTGTATGTGGCAAGTTCAGTAAATAAGTGAATAATCACGGTGAAGCTCTTCTTTCTTCTTGTTATATTTTGAGAGTCCTGTGTGTTTCTCAAAGTTCTCATCCCACTCCCAGGTATGACATCAAAGGCTGTGAGTTGGGCCGCTGGGTGGAGCCAGCCCCCAAGGGCAGCTCCATCGTCCTGGTGCTAAAAGACCTCAACTTTCAGGGCAAGACCATCGACCTGGGTGAGCCATGTCTGATCTACCTTCATTCAGGGTGAGATTAGAAGGGTACCCCTGGCTCTGCCCTCTCCCCTAGTTTAAGAGCCTAGATTCTAGAGTCAGGAAGAGCTGGGTTCAAATCCCAGCTCCTCAACTTACTAACTAAACAACTGAAGTAAAGTATACATTAATTACTTTATTTGTGAAATGGGATAATAATGGCACATGCCCTCCTGGGGCAGATGTGTGTGGAGCCCCCAGCACTGTGCCTGGCACACAGTGGGCACATTGGTGCTCCGGCAGGGCCCCAGCGGACCTGGCTCCTCCGCCAGATGGAACTGGACACCGCCTTCCTCCAGGAACTCAACGTGCTGGATTACAGTCTCCTGATGGCTTTCCAGGGTCTCCAGGAGGACGAGAGGGGCCCCGCCAAAAACCTTCTCTTCCACATGGCCAGGTGGGCCCTCTGACAGGGACAGAGGAGAGAATGAGGTGATCAGAGTGTGGAAAGGACAACTGGTGAACTGGGGGTCACACTTTCTCTGCACACAGTGGGTACAGGGGGCCACAGCATGAGACAGGACAGGAGAGAGGCCCACTAGGCAAGGGCTTTGGTGCTGATATGTAGAATCTGCCCATTTTCTGGCAGCAGATGTGGAATCACACTGGGAGTTTGTAGCTTTAGGAAGAGTGTTGGGTCCTTAATACAATCATTCCACTTATTGGACTTTGAGCTGATCCTGGCCTCATCTTTAGATCAGTAACTCTCGCTCTTTACATGTGACAATGAGCCTTGTTGAGAGGGTGGACACATTCTCATTTTAGACTCTCAAAACTGAAACTCAAACCCAAAATCTCTGTAAATGTTCATTAAAACTAATAAAATTTAATAATTAGAAAAAAAACCACCTGAAACTCAGAAAAGGGGAAGTAAAGTCTCTTATGATAGATGGATTTCAGTTCTTCAAAAGCTACCCTTGGAAATTCCATCTGCCACCTGTGTGGTTGAACAGAATTATGCAAGGGTTAGACAAACTCTCTGTGAGAGTCCCAATAAGCAGGGTGATAACACATTTTCTTTAACCCAACATAGCCAAAATGTGTCATTTCCATATGTAAGCGATATAAAAATGTCTGGGATGCTCCATGTTAGTTTTTCAGACTGCCTTTGAAATTCAGGGTGTGCTTACACTTAATATTGTTATGTGCTATTGAGTTAGAACTGACTGACTCATAGCTGATCATCCAGTGCGTTTTCAGGGGCTATAAATGGCACAAAAGGAAACTGCCCATCTTTCTCCTGCAGAGCAGCTGGTGGCTTCCAATTGCATGCATTTGTGTTGGCAGGACAACACTTTACTCAGTAGGCCACCAGAGCTCACTTACACATACACTTATGTTGTTGTGTACCACACAGGATATTGCCCATCCTTCTCTTGGCTGAGCAGCTGGCGGATTTGAACTGCATGCCTTCAGGATTCCAGTGCCGATTTGTACCACTAAGCTCACATCTTAATTGGGATTTGCTACATTTCAGTTGTTCCTTAGCCATCTGTGGCTGGCTAATGGCATGCACTACACAGCTTTGCTTTAAACAATTAACTAAGCTTTACTCAGCCCCTGGGTTTACCCAGTGTGTGAACAAGCGACTGACGACCAGGTTGTGTGCAAAGGGCCCTGCAGAGAAAGCCTGGCCAGTCTATGGAGCTGTCTAGCTGAGGCCTTCTGGTACAGATGAAAGTTTCTTTTGTCTGATCTGCCCCCAGGTCTGTGCAGGGGACACCCAGCCCGGAGGAGCTGTCATCCCAGAATTGCCGCCTGCTGCTTGACGTCCCCAACGCCTTACACATACTAGATGGGCCTGAGCAACGCTATTTCCTGGGCCTCGTGGACCTTGCCACGGTCTATGGGTTCCGCAAGCGGCTGGAGCACTTGTGGAAGACGCTGCGCTACCCGGGTCGGACCTTTTCCACCGTCAGCCCGGCTCACTATGCCCGCCGCCTCTGCCAGTGGGTGGAGGCGCACACTGAGTGACCAGAGCCAGGCCACACTCTCCCCATCTGGACAGTGGGAGTGCGCCAGGAGCACTAGTTCGAGCCGGGCGGGCTGTCCTCCCTTGCTGCCCCTCCTGGTGGCCACCAGAGAGCAGCATCACCTAATTAATGCTACAACGACGCTCTGTTTCACGGTGATGCTGTGCCAAGCATGAACTCCCATAAATTCATTTCATCCTCAAAAAATACCGTTAATATTCTCTTTTTACAGACCATGAAATGGAGGCTCAGGGGGTGAAGGAACTGAACAAGATCATTCAGAAATAAATGCTGGAGTCCAGGACTGGAACTCAGACCTTTTGAATTGAAGGAACCTGTAATCTTTAACCATCAACTTCCCACACTCCCTTCTCATGCTCTGGGCAAAAGGGGAAGCCGGAGGCTCCAATCTCCTATTCCAGATGGGGAAACTGAGGCCCAGATACTTTAAAGAGCTTGCCTAAGGGTAAGTAGTAAGCCAACAAGGCCTCTTGACCTTTTGCCCCTGGCTCAATCTCACTTCTGGACTGGACCTCTTTACTCCAGCTCTAGCGGTGCAGAGGGGAGAAGGTGGTGTAATGGAGGTGGAGAGAATCTTGGGTCCCTGGGGAGCATTCTGTTGGCATGCACTTGAGTGAACGCTGCCTTCTTTATCCTCCAGTCTACCTCAGATCACTGAGAATAGAGGAAACAGAAGCATCACTTTTCTCATCTGTGAAATGGGAAGAGGGATTGGTATTCAGACAGACATCCCAGAGGATAGAAGCAAAATACATCTGCAGATTTCCTGATCCATTTTTCTCCTTTCTGCAGGGTGGTCCAGCCCAGCCTCTGACCCCATCCACCCATGAGAGCCATTCTTCCAGAGCCACTCTGGTGCCTGTCTGTGTGATCAGGGGAAGGTGCTAGACCTCTCTGTGCCTCAGTGGTCTAACCTGCAAAACTACAAAGAATGAAAACTGACCTCAGTAACTTATTGAATATATAATGAGCACTTGCCATTTGACAGGCCCTCTCGGGGGCAATGGTGACGTAGGGCAGAACAAAATGGATGGATTTGGCCCTCTCAGAACTCATGGTTTGGGGTGACAAAGCTTCATGGAACATGAGGATGGAACATCACCTAATTATTTGGTGGATGGTGCTTGGCAGGGGGTTCTCACCTGTAAACTGAAACCAGAAGTGTTAGGCACATCCCTGGTTCCAAGTTGAGAATGCAGCCAAGAGCCTGGAATTAAAGAGAAAGCAAATTCTTCACTGTGGCTGCGTGCAGGGTGGGCAGGGGCAGTGTGGTGTGGATGGAGGGTGTGTGGACAGAGAGCTACCCCTCCACCCAGGACTGAACAACTCAGTATGTTGGGAAAGCCACTCAGTCTCACTGACCAGGGCCATGCCTTTGACCTTGAAATACCCCCTAAGAAGAAGGCTGACGGGGAAGAGGGTGGAAAGGAAAAGCTTGCCTTGTTGACAGCTGGAATTTCCAATTGCCTGGGTGACCTTGAGCAATTACTCAACCTCTCTGAGCTGACACAAACCCTGGGGACTTTCTTCTTCTGACTGGGCAGGAAGTTGAAACATTAAGTGCATTGAGATCACAACTTGGGTAGAAAGTTCCATGGAAATTCAGGCATAGGCTGCCTCCAAGGTGGAGACTTAGGGCTGATCTCTGATGCCCTGAGGTCCTGATCGGAGAGGCTGAGTCAGAGCCCCAAACTCCTGCTCTCATTGATAGGGATGACTCAGCTGCCTCTACTTCAGTTGTCTGGAAGTGGCACTAGGCAGAGCTTGAGGCTGAAGAGGACAGTGACTTACCCAAGACTTCATGGGCCTATGACTCCTAACTTCCAAACTCGTTCATTCAAGCCCCTGGTGTATGCCAGACAGACACAGTACAGACACAGCTTTGGAGATGACGTGGGAGCTCAACTGGCCTCCTTCATCACGTGGAGCTTAGAGTCTTTGGCAGTGGTCATAAACACAGGGTGATTTCAAAGGTATACCAAATGCAATGAAGAAAATAAAATGAAGGAAGCAGTATTGTGGGCACGGTGATTGGGGAGAGCCTCTTGGAGGCAGGGATGATTGAGTTGAGATGGAACAAGTCGTATGACTAGAGCCGGGTAGGTAGGAAAAGCAGAGAGTGAAAAAGGTCCTGTGGTGGAGATGAATTCCATCTGCTTCAGGTGGCAGAAGGGCAGCCAGGGAGGGTGGACAGTGATTAAGCAGAGAGCAGCGATCATATTGCAAGACTTTGTAGCCCAATTAAGAAATGTAGGCTTTAAAACAAACAAACAAACACACCCAGAAAACAATTCACAAAGTTTTTAAATTATTTTAGGAAAAAGTTACGCAGTAGTTTTAGGTTCCCATGCCCATGGTTGCAGTTTCCCCAGTGTGTCAGCATTCTCATTGCTTCCATTCTCCTGTGTCCACCACTCTGGCTTCTCCTTCTTACCTTCCTATTTTTGCTTCTAGGAGCCTGTTGCCTGATGGGACTCATATAGTTGATTGTTTAAGGTTGTCCTTTCCTCATGTTGATACTGTTTATGTTATAAGCCAATCTATTATTTGGCTGAAAGTTAACGTCCAGAGTAGCTTCAATTTAAGTTCAAGGATGTCTTAGCGCAGTAGTCTCTGGATTCCTCTAGTCTCTATCTGTCCAACAGGTCAAATGTTTTGTAGGAATTTGAGTTTTGTTTGGTGGTTTTCTCTCATTCTCTCTGGAACCTTCTTTTGTGTTTCTGATCAAAACAGTTGGTAGTAGTAGCTGGTCACCCAGTTCTTCCGGTGTCTGGCTAGAAGAAGTAGAGATTTGTGTGAGCTGTTAGTCCTATGAATTAGTTTCTTCTTTAAGTCTTTGGTCTTGTTATATACCATTAAGTAGGAATCAACTCACAGATGACCCTCCAACAGGTTGTCAGGCTATAAATCGCATGGGAGGAGATTGCCCATCTTCCTCCTGAAGAGTAGTTGGGGGTTCAAACTGTGTGTTTTCAGATTGGCGGCACTTCTTACCATTAGGCCACCAGAGCTTTCTTTTTGAGTCTTGAGTTTCCTTCATTCTCTTTTGCTCCACACAAGATGATACATTTTCTTGTTGTTGCTATTGAGTACAGTCAAGTCAGAACCAAAAGGAAGGTCTGGTGAGCCAATGGTAAGGTTCTTCATTCCAGAAGGCATGAGATTCAAATCCACCAACTGCTATTTGGGAGAAGAATGGGCAATCTCCTCCCATGCAATTAACTGCCTCTGAAAACCTGCTGGAGGGTCAGCTGTGGGTTGGTTCTGACTCAGTGGTACTCAACAACTACCCTTGGGACTGCAGAGCAGCTTCTTACCACTAGGCCACCAGAGCTCCATTAAGTTGATACTAAATAACTGTTGAAGTGTGAGTTTTGCCAAAACCAAACTGAAGAGCTTTTCTGGGACTGCAGGGCTTTCCGGTCCCACTGTGGATGTAGGATGGTCATCTGCTCTCAAGACTGAGTATTTGAGCATGCCTTTGATCCTTGCAAGGAGAGAGTTTTTTCTCATCAGGAACACCACCAGTTCTTGTCACTTCACCAGTCACTGTGGATGACTAATGAATCTGTTGTCCTTCTCAGGTGGGGTTTACAAAGAGAGAAATTTGAAGGGTGAGCTCTTGAAGGAGACCAGAGGGACTTTGAACCTTGGGCTGTGTGTCTTGTATGAGTGAGAAGCCACCAAGAAGGAACTTGGACTACACATGGTCTCTGAGATGTCCCCAGAATGGGGTGCAGAGGACGAGGGTTTGTGCTCAAAGGAGGCTCCAGAGGCAATTTCGTAGCATCAGGGCCAGCGCCCCCCGCCCCCCCCCCCGCCCCCGCTCTGCACTGTATGGGCAGAGTGTAGACTGGATGCTGGGTGGAAGGGTCTGGCTCTGGACCTGGAGCAGGGTAGCCTTGGGAGGATGCTGAGTCAAGGATGGATGCTCTGGCATTTTGCCCATACCTGAGTCTCTGAGGAAAAGAAAATGGAGTTCAGAATAAGAGTAGGTGCAGACTGAGAAAGATTTGAATGGGTGCAAGCTAGTTTTCCAGGTCAGTGACTTTCCGAAGAGGTGAATGTGGAGATGATGGTGGAGGAATTGATCTGATGCGTATAGCACGGAGTTAGAAAAGCTTTTAGAGCGACCTTGCACTCTCCACAAGGCCTACTCTCCCCTGTTGCTCTACAGCTACCTGCTTCAGTCCTTTCTGCCAGGCCCCTTAAGATATTTGAGTTTGAGATCCCTAAGGAATCCATTTGAAGTCTTCAAATAGAACACATTTCACAGAGCAGGGCCTGGTGGTCGATGGTGGTTTGGATTTTGTGGACATTCTGGCAGTGGTCCCTTGGAAGGTGAAAGTACGTGCTAAGAGCTCCTACTAGACCAGGGTTGAATCCTGTCATCCAGTGCTCCTTCTGTGAGGCAGATGCCCACTTAAAAAACGAGAACGGCGCCCCCATGTGTTACCGAATAGAACTGCTTCATGGAGTTTTGGTTGTAATCTTGACTGAAATAGATCGCCAGACTTCTTCTGCAGTGCCACTGGCTAGGTTTGAACTATTGGCTCAAAAGGCAAACTTCTTGTGTCATCCAGTGACCTTGCCTAATGTCGAGCCCCTGCTTAATTTAACTATCCTCCAGAGACTGGAGTATGGAGAAATGCAAATATTGATGGTCAGACTTGCTACTGAGCCGTGGCTCCAACGTCTCCCAACCAGCCTTTCCTCTGATAACCAAGAGGAGAAACGCAGGCAGCGCCAACTACGGGGAGGTGCTAGAGCCCAGACTCCGCCCCCGGGTCCAGACTTGCAGGCTTCGCCCCCAGCCGGGGAGTCTCCCCCAGGTTAAGATTTCAGCCGAGCCCTCCCCGAGGCGCGCTGGCCACACCCCCCCGCGGAGCCCGCTCCGCCCCCGGGCGCACAGGCCCTGCCCCCACCACTGAGCCCGCCCGGGCCCCGCGCCGCGTTCCGCCTCGCGACGCTGCCGCCGCGGCGCCACCTCCGCCCCGGGGCTACGGCTTCCACCCCGGCCCGCTGGGCCCGCGGACATGGAACTCCGATCCGCGCATCTTCAGAAGCCGGCGCACCCCAGCCTCCCTGCCCGGTTAGCGACGGCCTAGGCGGGAGGGAGCGGCCGGGCGGGGACGGGGAGCTGGAGGGAAATCCCATCCCGGCCGCCGCTTCCCGCTTCCCGGGCCTCCTACGTCCCAGGGGTACGAGGGATGGAGTAGGAATCGCAAGTCTTGGCTCTTGGCTCTGTCCTCCCCAGACTCGTTGACTCGTTGCATGACCTTAAATTGAGGGCTCCCCTGCCCGGCCTTCCTTTCACCATCGGCACAATGGGGATTGGGTTGGCTGGAGGTCTCCTAAGAGTCTGATTCCAGCATCTCTTGGCTGTGGGCGCTGCTGCCCCCCGCTTGGGGGCTCTGAGGTTTTAATTCCCAGGCGCTTTCTGCCCTGAACTCCAACCTCAACTCTGCCTTGATTTCCTGGGGAGGCGGGACCTGTCTGCCCTCCCTGGCTGGACTATGAGTCTCTGGCTCTTGACAGGTGCCCGGCTTCCACCTCGTTCCGGCCTGAGTCCTGGAGACGTCAGCCCTGGGGCTGCTGAGCCGCAGCGGCAGCATGAAGGCTCCGGTAAGTGGCCAAAGAGGAGAGGGTCATAGATATTTTGAGGTACCTCTGATGGTACAGACCATGTAGAGTTGCCATAGGCCACGCTTCTCTAAAGGTTCAAATCCACGCGCAGCTCCATGGGAGAAAGATGGACAGTCTTCTCCCATGTGATTCACAGCCTGGAAAGCCTGCTGGAGGGTCAGCTCTGAGTCTGTCCGCCTCAGGGAGTTGCAGAGTAGCCTTGGTCACCTCTGCCAGCTCTGGACTGTGTGAATGTCCCATATAACCTCACCCTTCTGTGAAGATAAGGCTAGATTGGCCTCAAAGTCTAAACCTGCACTGGGTGGCTTGTGCCTCCAGGCAAATGGTGGCTACTTCTGGCCTCACCTCAAAAAGTGAGGTAATTGCTCCTACATGTGAGCATCCCCAGGTCACCCCGGTGAGGCCGAGGGAGTGGGACTTGGTTTGAAAGCTCAATGACGACAGCTTCCGCGGTGCTCCTGCTGGCCGGTGACCGTGCCCCTAGTATTGAGGGGAGCCAACCCCGCTATTTGAACCAAGTGTTCCTCATGGGCAAGGAACCAGGTGGCAGGCAGGTCCTGAGTTCCCAGCCGCTGGGCTCCTACCCCCTGCCCAGGTGGCCATATACTCGAGACTTATTTTTAGAAAACTGGTATGTGCTTTGTGGGCAGAAAGGGATGGATCTCTGACAGGATGTGCCTGCGTTGGTGGCTTTTGTATCTCTTATCATCACAGAACACTGGCCAACTGCTGAGTGGTTTCTGAAGGGTCTCTTGAGCAGGCTTGGGAAAACAACGAGCCCTGAGAGACATAGGTGGGGATCAAGGTGACCCAGAGTGCTGCTGCCCCTCCTCCTTATAGGGCTGGTGGGGACATTTCCTGTGAGGGCTTCCTGGTTCAAACAGCCTTTGTTTAGGCATGTGATTTCTGGAGCCCTGGGCCTCTGGGCAGAAGCTTTTCAATTATTGAAACCAACTCTTGAATGACACCTTCGCTGAATTTCTTCTGCCATTCTCCTTACTCAAGAGGGCAGTTGACCCAGATCACTAATCTTCAGCTAAGGGGACAACACTAAGTCAGTTGCTAGGGCACTGCGTGGAATGCTGAGAGAGTGGGTAGGAAGGGGGAACCCTGGGCTGGGCCACCTCTAGCCAGGGGCTGAAGGAGCCAACTGCCCAGCATTGATGTGCCTAGCACTTTCCCAGCAGTACTGAACACTTTCACCACTGTTAATGGATACATTGTGTGCCCCTGCCTCAAATAAGTTTTGCAAATCCTACCAGTGGCTTAGTGGTTAAGGAGCTGTGCTACTAGGCAGAAAGTTCAAAACTCCACTGAAGAAAGATGGGCAGTTTCCTCCCATTCAGTTTACAGCGTCTAAAAATCCACTGGAGAGTCAGCTATGAGTTGGTTCTGACTGGAAGGCAAAAAATTCAAAGGTTATGTTTTGTTGTTTTTTTGTTGTGGGTTTTTTGTTTGTTTTATTTGTCTGAGGTGGTAATCTCATCTGGAATGGTTTGGTTTTCTTATGTTAATGAAGCAGGGCTAGTGTAGAATGTACTTGGGGTCATTTACTTTTGAGGCATAAAATAAATTAAACAAGCCGGAGACAGAGAAAACGTAGAGACCTAAATGAGGAGATAGGCACCCTCCTCCAGAGCCAGCAGAGAGCCTGCCTCTGGAACCGGCACTCTGAATTCAGACTTGCAGCTTTCTGAACTGTGAAGAAATAAAGTTCTGTTTGTTAGAGCCACCCATTTGTGGTATTTCTGTCACAGAAGCCCTGAACCACTAAGATAACCACTAATGTTAAATAAGTGATTACTGTGATATCATTGTAGTGAACATGCCTCAGTGGAGGAGGAAAAGAGCATCAAGACCCAAGGCTGCACAGCACACCCAGGCTTCTGTTTAAGATCCTGGCCCTGTGGTCTGGCTTTGAGGCCTCCCACTGCCACTTCCTCTCTGTGTGGTCTTGAAGCACGCACTTCACCACCAAGTCATTTCCTTATCCAGAAAATGGGAATTATGACAGAGCTGATCTTCAGGGCCCTCTTGACAGCTCAGAGTGAGGTGTGGTAGACAGCCGGTGGTGTGTTCTACTGATATCTAGGAGCTGGGGTCTTGGCCCGTGAGGCTGGTGTGCAGCCCACCACTGAGGTTTTTGGAAACCCTGGGGACCTCTGCCCACCATGCATCCCCCTGTAATCATGCCTCTCCCTCAGGGTCGGCTCCTACTTGTCATCCTGTGCTCCTTGGTCTTCTCTGCTGTCTACATCCTGATGTGTGGGTGGGCCTGTCTGCCCCTCTGCCTGGCCTCCTGCCTGGAACCCCACCTCCCCACCGGCTCTAGGCCCACCGTGCCGGGACCCCTGCACTTCAGTGGCTATAGCAGTGTGCCAGATGGGAAGGTGAGTCAACCTGGCCAAGGGCTCGCCTCCCCCTCCAGGGGGGAATCATGAGAGTGGAGAATGCAGACACAAGCTGGGCTTGCGTCTGTGACCTTGGCTCTCCCTTCATGTCACTTAGACTGTATGTTCTTTAAAAGGTGTTCATAAGGGAGTCAGACAGCATGGCTGCCAACTTGGAGCTCCCAGACCAGTGGGAAAACAGTCGTATCATGATGGGAGGCGTTATCTACATCTTTGTTGTTGTTGTGTGCCATTGAATTGGAAGTGACTCATAGCTGACCCCCCCAGTTTTCAGAAGCAGTAAGTCACATGGGAGGAGACTGCCCAACTTTTTCTTGTTAGTAACTAGTGGATTTGAACTATGTGCCTTGGGTTGGCAGCACAGTTTACCACTAGGCAACCAGAGTGCCCTATTTACATCATTAGAAAGAAAAAAAAAAAATCGATAAAAGTCACAGGCAACCCCAGAATTCTTTGTCTTATGAAAGAGACAGGATACTAGACCCAGGGGTGACAAATCAGCTATGGCGCCTGTCCCCCAGCACCCACCTCCCCAGGCTTGCTCTGCTTAACCCAGTGGGGAGAACTTTCCTCCTTCACACTGACTTACTGGCGCCACATAGGAGGTTTCTTGTGCATTGGGTGCCCTCAGAAAGCACCCTGGATGTGCACACAGGGCAGGAGGCTCCTGCTCTGAGTGGGTGACTCAGTGAGGTGAGTGCAGACCCCTACTTGGAGCAGCCTCATTCATTCAGGGTTGTTTTGCTCTGCATCTCGGTGGCTGCCTTATCTGTAGAAGACAGTCATTACGTTTCCTGCCTCAGTGGAGTTGTTACTAAGATTCAACAGTTCCCAGACAGATGATTTTATCCTTAAATAACAGATGAAAAAACGAACCCACGGGATTGGTCAGGTGGACGGGCTGGCTGGCTGGGCTCTGTGGATCCTGTCCCATTTACTTTAGGGGCAGCTGATGTTCATCTCACATACTCACAACCTCAGGGAAGCAAAGGTTTGGGGTGATCAGAACCTATGGTGGGGGTTTTTTGTTTGGTTTTTTTAAGAGGATCTAGAAATCTAGGTTTATTTTGGTTTTTTTAATTGTTTTTTTATTTCATTACTTTTTGTGTGTGTACTGTCAAATCAGATCTGACTGGTACAGGAGGAGATTGTCCCTCCTTCTCCAGCAAGCATCTGGTGGATTTGAACTGCCTACCTCTGGGATTGCAGTGCAGCTTCTTGCCACTAGGCTAGAAATCTAGGTTTTGAGTATCAGGGCCAGTTTTTATAGACTATCTGATAGGTACTTGAAAATTTAGAGACCTCTTTGGGTACAAACAGTACACCTCTTGGGGACTGGCAGTGACCCACAATTGTTAGGAGAGGCCTATATTGAGAACAGGATGAGGAAGTCTTGCTCTTTATTGCTGGGGTAGGTAAAGTGGGCCTGTTACTAGGTGCTATCAAGTCTGTTCTGACTCATTAACCTATATGTCAGAGTAGAATTGCCCCATAGGACAGTTAAAGGATCTTAAACCCTTTCCCTAGGCTATAAGGTTCATGAAAACAAATTTGCTGGGTCCTTTCTAGCAATCTAGTAAAGAATGTGCTGCTAACCCAAAGGCTGGCAGTTCAAATCCACCAGCTACTCCTTGGGAGAAGGATGGGCAGTCACCTGTGTGATTACAGCTTGTGAAAACTCACTGAAGGGTCACCTATTAGTCAAGTCTAACTTGATGGTGATGAGGTGTGTTCCCCGCACACCTCCTCCCCTCCCATTTAATTTGAACCATCAGCCTTCTAGTAGACAGTTGAGCACTCAACCATTATACTACCAGGACTTCCTTGTCCTTAACACAACATTATTTTGGGTATAAAATGTACCTGAGTAGGATATGATGTCTCTCATTAACACATCCTTTATAAGCCTCCTGAAACACACCCTCCCTCAAAGAGGAATGGAGACATGAGTTGGGGAACAGGTCTTTCTCTGGGAAGTCCTCGCCTTTCAGCCCAGTGGATTTTCCCCCCCATTATTGCACATTTCCTTCCCTCCTCCACTCCCTCCTTTCCCAGCCCTCCCTACAATTCACCTCTTGTTCCAGATTGTCATGTATGTAATACCTAATTATATATCCCTTTGGACAATTCGTCTCTCATCTGATCTAATGCAGTGTTCATTACCTATCCACTCTGCCCATTCTCTCCCCAAGTCCCTCATGTCTGTCCTCTATATTAGTGGTGGTACGCAGTATTTGTCCTTTTGTGACTGAGATATTTCACTTAGCATAATGTCCTCCAGGTACCCCAATGTTGTGTAATGTTTTACGAGTTCATTGATTTTCAGTGTTGCATAGGATGCCGTTGTGTGAATATATCACAGGTTTTCTATATGTTCATTTGTTGCTGGGCCCTTGAGTTGCTTCTGTTTCTTTGCTATTGTGGATATGCAACAATAAACATGAGTGTGCATATATCTGTTTGAGTTGTGGCTCTAGTTTCTTTAGGGTATATTTCCAGTCGTCAAATGGTATTTCTGTTTCCAACTTTTTGAGAAAGTGCCAGACCATGTTCCATTGTGACTGTATCATTTTACATTCCCACCAGCAGTGAATAAGAGTTCTTTCCACAACCCTGCCAGCATTTGTTGTTGGCTCGCCTATTGAATTTTTTTTTTTAAAAAAGTATTCTTCCCCCCTATAGTTGTGGGGTGGCTTACTGAAATCTGCTATTGTTGCTGGGGTCCGGTGGATCTCTGAGGCTCATTGACTCCCCATTTGCCTTCCAGGAGGTAAGGGAGTGGAGTGTATCCTTACTGTTCCCTGTATCTGTGCAGATAACTCTTCAGGCATTTCACATTTAATCCTCACAGCTTGGGTCAGTAAATGCCACTTTCACTCCCATTTTACAGATGGGGGAGACTCAGTGAGGCAAAGGGACTTGCCCCAGGTCGCACAGCTAGGAAAGGGCGGGGCTAGGATTCACATTCAGAGCTGGAGGTTCTTTTACCCAGTTGTGGGCACTTGAAGACCCTGATGGGCCTAGGCTGAGCGAGTAGTAGCCTGTGGGTGGTTCTGAAGAGCTGAGGTTTGTGTTTCCCTCACAAACACTTATGTGCCATCCAGTCTATGCCAAGCACTGTTCCAAGTGCTTTATAAATATTTATTCATATTTGTCCCTCATAAGGAACCCAGGCCTTAAGTATTCTGAGGGCCTCAGTATCTACTAAAATAGCAAGAGAGACTGGAGCAAGGAGCATGGCTGATGAGGAATCAAAGGTTCTGAGTATAAAGTCTCAGCTGGAGGTCTATGTGATCTTGAAAGAAAAGTCACTACGCCTATGAAGCCTCCATATTCTCATCTGCACAGTGGGTTGACTACAGGTACTTAGGGCTGATACCTGGATAAAGGAAGCTGAGGGGTGGTTCCGGGCGGAGGAGGGAGTGGGTGAAACCTGTGTCCATGAGCCTCTTTCTCTCTTTTTGATTCCTTATAGCCGCTGGTTCGAGAACCGTGCCGTAGCTGTGCCGTGGTGTCCAGTTCTGGCCAGATGTTGGGCTCTGGCCTGGGTGCCGAGATCGACGGAGCCGAATGCGTGTTGCGCATGAACCAGGCGCCCACGGTGGGCTTTGAGAGGGACGTGGGCCGCCGCAGCACGCTGCGTGTCATCTCGCACACTAGCGTGCCGCTGCTGCTGCGCAATTACTCACACTACTTCCAGCAGGCCCGAGACACTCTGTACGTGGTGTGGGGCCAGGGCCGGCACATGGACCGGACGCTCGGCGGCCGCACCTACCGCACACTGCTGCAGCTCACCCAGATGTACCCGGGCCTGCAGGTGTACACCTTCACAGAGAGGATGATGGCCTACTGCGACCAGGTCTTCCAGGACGAGACCGGCAAAAACCGGTGAGGCTGGGGCCGTTGGGGTCGGGGCTGGGAGAAGGGGAGGGCAGTAGTGATGGAGGCAGAGTGGCTGTCATTCATGCAATTGTCAGAGATGTAGAATCCCAAAGGGGCATTTGTCCTGTAAGCACAGGATGAGGCAGAACTGGCCAGACTCAGGGATGGCCTGGGGGTGCTTCCGTTAGCAGAGGCTGCTCTGAGATCTGAGTCCATCTGCCAAGTCCCTTCCAGATAATGAAAGTAGCACAGAAAAGCAGTCTTCTTCATGCCCCACGCACTGGATTATATGCATTGTGCTCTAGATCTTGAACCCTAAAGAACACGTGGACCCCTTACTGTTCCCCTTCTCCACACATCTGCACCTCCACCTGCCTCTTTAGTCAGAAAATGTCATTATCAGGCTCTGGCTTCTCAGCCAGAAACATGGACTTCACTGCTGACTTTGCCATCACCTGTTTCTGCAAGTCTCTCTCCATGCCCTAGCAGCTATCCCCTCACTAGTCTTACTCCTGCCACTCTTGTCCCTGCAGCCTGGGCTCCTCCAGCTTCCCCTGTGAATCTGGACCCCTCTCCACCCTGTTTTCCACTCCCTACATGATCTGGCCCTTGCCTGGTCCTAGGACCACATCTCCCCTTTACTCACTCTGCCCTAGACACGTTAGCCATCTGGGCTTCCTCAGATGACCACACTTGTCCTACTGGTGGGCCTTGGCACTGCCTTTCTACCACCTGGAGCATTCTTACCCCACATCTGGTGCCCTTCAGATGAAATGTCATCTCCTTCGAGAAGCTCTCCCTGACAGCCCATCTGAAGGATCTGCCCTGATGTATTTTATCCCATGACCCTGTTTTCTTGTCTTCTCGGAAGTTGTCACCCTCTGACATTGTCTTGCTGATGTATTTGTCTCCCAGCCACCTCTGCACCGGGTGTGACAGGTGTAGAACCAGCATAGGGCCTGACTTCTGTCACTTTGTTTGAGTGAATGAACCACCTCGTGACCTACAATTATCCTCTTTTCATGGATGGGTCTCTGAGGCTCAGAGAGGTTAATGGTGGACTCTAGGCCTCCCATCCCCTTACAGTTCTGCTCCTTCTGCTGTCCACTCAAGCCTGGTCCCTTTGATGTAGAGAGGGTGTGGCCAGGACCCACACCCATTGTCCTGGGTGTTTGCTCCAAGCACAGCCCTGCTTCAGTGGGGAAGACTTGAACCTTGGTTTGCTTCCATCTCTTGCTCACTGCTGACCTTGGGCTGGCTGTGCCTGTCCCTCTTTCCACTCTGTAGATGTCAAGGTGAATGACCTTGGGTTTTGAATGAGGGCCCTTGCTCCATGTTGTACTTGTCCCTCATGTGCGCCTTTCCTGCAGGAGACAGTCTGGTTCCTTCCTCAGCACTGGCTGGTTCACCATGATCCTTGCACTGGAGCTGTGTGAGGAGATTGTGGTCTATGGGATGGTGAGCGACAGCTATTGCAGGTCAGTGGGCCAGGCCAGGCGCAAGGGGAGGGTGTGGAGGACCTGCCCAGGGTACTCTGGGGGTGCAGGCTGTGTGGGTCAGCCGTCCAGGCCAGGTGCGAGGGGAGGGTGTGGAGGACCTGCCCAGGAAGCGAACTAGAGGAGCAAGGCACTCTGGGGGTACAGGCTGTTGGGGTCCATTGTGAGTGGCCACGGTGTGGGACGAGGGTGGGAGCAAAGAGCTTAGCTTTTGGAGCAGGCTCAGAGAGAGACCAGCACCAGCATTGCTCGTGAGGTTTTGGTTTGGTCTTGGTGCCTCCCAGGCTCCAATTTCCTTGTATGTAAAATAGAGGAGAGAATTTTATCTCCTTCCAAAGGTTGTTGGAGAGCCCTGGTGGCCTAGTTCTAATACCAGAGGCACATGATTTCAATCCACCAGCTGCTCTGTAGCTGAAGGAAGGATAGGCAATCGTTTCCTGTGCTATTGAACTACCTCTGTAAACTCGTCAGAGAGGCAGCTATAGGTCGGTTCCAGCTCAACAGCAACATCAACCAAACATTGTTGGTTGAAACATTTAATCAGTTGTCATCGAGTTGCTCCCAACAGCCATGTGTACCTGAGTTGAACTATGCTCTTTGGGGTTTTCAGAGGTTGAATTTTCAGTAGATCACCAGGCCTTTCTCCTGAGGTGCATCTGGTGTGGTCAGTATCTGAATGTGCCAGCTGTTTCCACCATCTAGGATCTCCTTGAACCGTTGTTGTTGTTAGGTTCCATTGAGTAGAGTACATTCATAGAGACCCTGTAAACCCAGATCTGAACCCTGCCTTATCCTACACCATCCTTATCATCTCTGACGTGCTTGAGCCCCTGCCGCAGACTGTACTGTGGTGGTTGCTGGCTGCTGTGGTGCTGGAAGCTGTTCCAGTGCATTTTAGTGCCAGCTGGTCACCCATGGTGGACAGGTTTCAGTGGAGCTTCTAGTTAAGACAGACTAAGAAGGAGGACTGACCATCCACTTCTGAAATATCTGGTTTTTGAAAACCCTATAAACCGTGAAACATTAGACGGTGAATAATCTTACCAAAGTGCTTGGCAGGGCACCAGTACTGAAAACAATATGTGTATCAGTTACAATCGGTTACATCTAAGTGAGTCCTCTTAATGTTATTTCTTTCTAATATCTATCATTAACATATATGATAAATATTAATATTACCTTAATATAATTAAATATCAGACTAGTTAGGATTATTGTTTTGTAGTGTTGCTACATTATTAGAACTCTGTGTTTTTTTTTTAAGTGCTAGCTCGTTCAGGAAAGGCCCTGTGTACATGCTGTGTTCTCTCTGGAGCTTGTTTGTTGAGCATGTGGGTGTAATGTCCAGAGCCTGTGTACCTGAGTGACACAGGCTGGACTGCTGGTTTGCTGGGTAGATGGACATGCAGGAATGGCTGTCCTCTGTCACCTTCACCAGCAAACTACTTTGCTGTCCTCATCTTTCTGATGTACACACTGGATCTGGAAGGTGGCTGTCACAGGCCCACCTTAGACAGGTGAGCTGTTGAGGTCCACTCACTGCCCACAGTCAGCTTGCAAGAAGGCAGGGCCAGGTGTCAAACACTGACCTTTTGGATCTCTAGGCTGTTTGCTCTTCCCCATATATTTGCCTTCTTCAGGCCCAGACACGGGGCTCCTTGGGCCCAGCTCTTGAGGGCTGGGCCCTGTACCTGTTGAGGGATGGTCACTGTGGGAGACTGGATTTAGAGAGAGGAGGGTGGGTTCTGGTGCCTGACTCACTCTGCTTTGTCCCCACCCCACAGAGAAGCACACCACCCCTCGGTGCCTTACCACTACTTCGAGAAGGGCCGGCTGGATGAGTGTCAGATGTACCTGGCGCATGAGCGGGCGCCCCGCAGTGCCCACCGCTTCATCACAGAGAAGGCGGTCTTCTCACGCTGGGCCAAGAAGAGGCCCATCGTGTTCGCCCACCCATCCTGGCGAACCCAGTAGCCAACTGCCGTGCCTCCATCAGGCCTCCTTCCCTTCAAGGCTACCACACTCCACCAGAAACATTTAATTTATGGATCCTACCTCCTCTCATATGCTGGACAGAGTGTCCCTCCCTCCCTCACTCTGGGGACAGTTGAAGTCGTCTCCAGCTTCACGACTTGAGGGGGAATCAAAGGGGGGTTGTGGTGATCTCTGTACCTCCCTACTCCCTGAGTGATCCAAATCTTCATTTTGGAGTTCATCCCACCTCTAGGTCTGTCAAGTGGCCTTTGCCCCTGGGGCTAATGCCCCTCAACTCACCAGCATCATGACCTTATGCCAGCCCTGGTCCTTCCTCTTCCCCCCACCCACCTTTGGTGCCACTTCCCAGGCTGGCTGTCCTGTTGCCAGCACCCTGGTCAGGGCAGCCAAGAGCTTGATGTTTGCTGGGCAAAGACACCTTTGAAATGTGACTGCCAGGGCCATCTCAGGAGTGTACGGGTAAACGTGGGAGCTGACGCCTGTCTCTGCGTGGTATGCATCCCTGCCCTGCCACAATCCTTTTCACACGAGGGTCAGCTGAAGCCCATAGTTCTTGCCCAGGCTGGACATCTGAGCTTCTGGATCTATTTTTTTGTTTGTATCAGGTTTTTTTAAAAAGTAATTTATTATATCTTTTGTTGAAAATATATATAAGTAGAACATTTTCCTTTTTCCACATAGACAGTTTCTACCTATAAAATTTAGTGACATTGCTTTTACTCTTAAAAGTGTGCAGCCCTCTCTCCACCTTTTCTAAATTGTTCCTCCCACCATTAACTTCATCTTTTTTGTCCCTGAGCTCTCTCTTTCAAGTTGCTGTTGGCAGTTTGTTTCCATATAGATGGTTGTTTCAAAAGGGCATAGTGCTCAAGGCAGACATTCTTTATTAATGAAGTTAAACTACTGTTTAGTTTCAAGATTTTCAGGGATATTTTTGGTTTGAGGTTTAGAGATTATTTTAGGGTAGTAGTTTCCAGGGTACATCTCACTCCAGTGGCTCCAGAAACTCTGAATTTTAAACTATTTTCCACATTTCCCCTTTGATCAGGATTCTTCTATAGAATCATCTTTGGTCAAAACTTAGATAATGGCTGGGTCTGGACACCTCCTGAGGGCCTGGCCCTGGGCCGCATGTGGCCTAGGAAACACACAGATGCTTCTTTGGGATTCCCACCCACCTGGTCAGTGGGAGAAAAGCCTGGGCCCTGAGAAGAATGTCAGGGTGGGAGGGACATTCCTCTACCCCCTGCTGCCGCCTGCTTCTAGGGGTCACATTCCAGAGACTCAGTCAATAAACTCCCTGTCAACATCTTCTGCAAGGAAGGAAGGCAGGGTAGCCTGAGGGACAGTGAAAGGCTGGCTTAAGGCCAGGTGGGTGGGCAGGGGTGCAGGGCCTCTGGTTGGGCTCCTTGGTCTGGACTTCCTTAGCTGAGTTTCCCTTTCCATACCTGGGAACAGGAAAGTCTGACCCCACCTGCTAACATCAGGAGGATACACAGCAACACTGGGAGGGGCTTTGGTGTGAGCACCAGTATACAGGTGAGACCACAAGGTCAGCCATCCAGTGGCCACACAGGCTGGGAGTGGTCCCAGGTCTAAGAGCATCTGGGTCCTGGGCCACCAGAAGGCCTGAAAGAGCAAGGGCCAGGGTTCTAACTGTTCACCCGTCCCTTCCTCATTCTCTGCTTCTTTGTTTTCCTCTCTCTACCATCCACCCTTCCTTCTATCTGGACACAAATGAGATGCTAGCACCTCAGGCTTAGCTCATGGGGCCCTAGGGTTCTTGCTCCCATCTCCAGGGATCAGGGCTCATTTCATGGTTGTGTAAAGTTTGTATTTGGCTCCCATACTCAGAAGCCCCTTTGTTTACTTAATGATTAGCTATGACCAAACTGGAATTCATAACTTCTTAATAAGGGCTCGCTCACATTTTTCCTCTTGTATTAGGCCTAGTGAATTTTAAGACTGGGCCGGGGGCTCTGAGTGACTCGTGACTATCCCTACTACTTCTGCCTTCTCAGGAGAAGCTGGTGACCCAGCATCTGGCCACAGCCTTGCCTTTTGTGCCCTGCTTCTCTCTGTCTGGGGCCCAGAAGGCTCTTAGGTGAGAGAGTGGGAGCGCCATTGTAGGTTCGAGCAGACTGGCTGCCCATCGCTGACCCAACCGTGGTGGCCAGAGTCTAGGCGTGAGCTGCAACCTGGCTCAGAGGAGACTCTGGACTCAAACCTGGCCTCATTCTCATACTGCTCCATGGTATGGTAGCCTGGCAATGCCCTTCTAGGCCTGGTTTCCTCATCTAGGTTTGCATATAAACCTTTCTTCTCAGAACTGTAGGATTCAGAGAGATGTAAAGTGCCTGGTTCCAGGGCTTGGCCATAGCTGGTAGTCACTATGTTGTTAGCTGCTGCTCAGTCTGTTTGCTCGCCAATGGCAGCAAGCCCCTTCCATCTTCACTTGTGTTGGTTGCTTGAGTGTGTTCTTGAGACCATTGTGATTTGAGTACCTCTCAGTGTAGCAGGCTCATCTTCCAAGGACAAGTGCAACCTTACCCAGCCCCTTCCATCTTCACTTGTGTTGGTCGCTTGAGCGTGTTCTTGAGACCACCATGATTTGAGTCCTCTCAGTGTAGCAGCTCGTCTTCCAAGAAATGATAACACTGATAAGGATTCTCCTCACCTCCTTGTGAAGTCAGACAAGGACGTCACGCAAAACGCTGCTGCCATGTCATTTTCACACTGCCCATCTGCCACCAGTTGAGGCGGGGCCGGTGGTGAGAAGATGATCCTATTTAAAATGATGATTTTAATAATAGCAAATCCACCACCTGCCTGTCATTTTGTAATACAGTGGTTGTTTACATGTTGCTGTGATGTTGAAAGCTATACTACCAGTATTTCTAATACCAGCAGGGTTACTCCTTATGACAGCTTTCAGCAGAGCATCTAGACTAAGACTAGGAAGAAAATCATGGCAATTCATTTCTAAAACTTGGGGGGAAAACTTTAAAAAATTTTTTTTAATAGTTAAAAAAATATCTCAATACTCCCTTTATAAAAAAATCTGAAAAAAGAAGAATCACTATCATTAACCCAAAGCTATGTCCTGTGAGATAGAAGTCGGACATACCTCCTCCCTACCCATTTCACTAATTCTGACACCAGCCTCCTTGGCACTCTACTTCATTTCTGGTTCAAGAATTTGTTACACTGGCCATCCAGCACTCACAAACCATACAAGTTTATTAAGGAAGTAGAAGGTTACAATTCAGGATACATTTTTTCAGTCAGAACAGCCACTTCTTAACTATGTCCACAGGTAGGACTCTGGCCCTTTGCCCTCTTGGCCCGGCCTCTGTGCTGCTAGGCAGGTGTTACAAAGCCCAGGGCACCCCCCTCTGCCAGGAAACCTCCAGTCTGAAGGCTCACTCTGTCCCATAACCACCTGGTTTTCTGGACACTGTCCCAACAAGAAGCTCATTGCAGTCTCTACCAGTTTCCTGGCTGTGCAGCCACCATCTCTCCACTGCTGCTTTTTGTTGTTTTGAACAATTTTATAGCTCCTTGTCTTTGAGAGTGGAGAGTCTCAGCTCAGGCACCCAGGGTCCAAAGAATGTGCTTTGTTCCATCTTTTCTTTTGTTGTACGTGTTGTCAAGTCAGAACTGACCCATAGCTGACCCTCCAATGAGTTTTCATCAGCACTTAATCACACGGGAGGAGATTGCCCATCCTTCTTCCACAGAGCAGCTAGTGGGTTTGAACCATGAGTCTTTAGGATTACAGCATAGCTGCTTGACACTAGGCTGCCAGAGTTCTTTTCTTGATAGTACTGTAAAGTTCCCTATTCCCCCATCCACATCTGCAATGATTCATTTTAAGTCTAGTGGGATGGTGAAACCCTCTTTAGGGTTCAAGCATCTCATTTGCATATTCCCACCTGGTCATTAGTGGAAGTATTCAGACCATGGTGAGACAGGTCACTTAAAGCAGTTTTGCAGTCAAGATTTCCCATAAACGGTCTTCCTTTGTCTTCAGACCCAAGGCCCAGGATCTGCTGGTCACAGTAAGATTCAAACTCAGCCTCCTCTTCCCTGGAGACTGCCTTTCTTTCCACCTCCAAACCCCAAACCCAAGCTGCTACTGTCACCAGTTCTGACTCACAGTATCCCTACAGGACCCCATAGGATTTTCAAGGGTTTCAATGTGTATAGAAGTTGACCTCTACATCATTCTGTAGAATACCTGGTGGATTTGAACTACTGACCTTTTGGTCAATAGTGTAGCCTTTAACCTCTGGGCTACCAAGGCTCTTTTTTTTTCTGTTATCTAGGAAATAGTTATGTGATGCCAAATATCAAACTAAGTATTAATAATTATTAAATATAAATTAAAAATTCATAATTAACCAAATGCTTTATCAGGATATAAGGGAGATGTAAATACAAGCTGGAATTCTGCCTGAGACAGGTCACAGGGGTCAAGCACCTAGGCTAACCTAAGGCTTCTTCAAAATTCTTGGCTTGTGTTTACTAACCCCTCCCTCCTGAGATAAGCATAAGGTTAACAATAGAGAACTGTTTGCCCCTGCCTTGACACTCTCTGTTTTCTCCTCGGCCAATGACATTTTGGCACCTGAAAAAGGACCTGAAAAGAGACAATAGAGTCAGCCTCTCTCTCTCTCCCTTTCCCTCTCTCTCTTCCCCCCCCCTTTCCTTCTCCCCCACCCTTTCTGTCAGACACCAGGAAACTGAAAGGGAACTCGCTCAGGTTAAGTGAAACTTAAAAATGAAATTTAAAAAATTAAAGGCAGGGTCATGAAGAAATCCTCAAATCCTCAATTTTGCTAGAAATTTAGAGGTAGAAGTAGAAAAGATTTTATGAGGTTTTTCTTCACCCCTTGAAGGAGAAATTTAGAGGAAGAAATAAAAAAGTTTCATGAGGATTCCCTCACCTCTTGAAGTAGAAACTCAGGGGAAGAAGT